TCCCGGCCCCAGCCCGCGCGGCACCTGCGCACAGTTTACAACTGCATGTTGCCGCTCCACTTGTCCAAAGTCCAGCGCTTTCAGGTAGTGGTTCTGCTGCGCGCCCGTGTCCTTGCACGTCTTCTCTGTCCTGCTAGGAAGGTCGTGAAGATGCCCCCGTTCTTCTTGGCGCCTTCCACCGAGGCCTTCGACGCCTCCCTTGGCCGCTTGAGGACCTGCTGGTTTCTCTGGTTGCGCGACCTCTTTGGCTGGTTGGCTTGATCCCCCGCGTCGATGATCGCCTTTGCCGCCTGGATGTGCCCTGTGGACTGAGCAATCTACGCTCGGCCCCTTGCGCGCTGCTGATCGCAGCCCACCTGTTCCTGCGCGATGTACTTCCCCCCGCCATGGCGAAGCTCCCCCTCGTCGCTCCACCCGGACCATTCCGCGAGCCGAAGGGCCAAATCGAAGTTGGCGCACACCCTCTCCCACTGGCTTCCTCTTCTCCCTAGGTGTTGTTTACGTCCTGGCTCGTTCTTGGCGTGCTACCTGCGGTTCTCCATCGTCCTGCGATGCCCGAGCTGCTCGCCGCATCGGCCGCATGGCCACGGCATGTCGCTGCCAGCGAGGGCCGTGAGCAGCCCTTCTGCGTCTTGCACTCCGAGATGCACTCGCTAGTGCAAGTTCGCGTCGAGGCACTGGTTGAGCCAGAGGGGCTGTGGAACCTGGTGGTAAGGGACGGGGGTTTACCTCCTCTCTGAAATCCCGCGCCGACGCCTGTAGCCCCCAAATATACTTCGTAGCATTCTGGAGATGGGGCGCACTCCTGAACCCATAATATTGTAAGTAGCATGCATCGCCCCCCGCGCTCGGCGCACCCTTCCCGTCGGTTGTCCGAGCTGAAGCCGAAACGGTCTTCGATTTAGCGTCGGGCCACAGTCCTGGCCCCCAGGAAGCTAGATGCCCTGAAACGCGTCGGTCCGTTTTCCGAGTGGCAGCCGCGAAGCGGTCCTCGATTGCACGTCTGTCCGTGACCTCTCACTACATTAATGTCTGTTGATGCGCACAAGGTACGCAGAGGCCCCAATCACACCGCATCGCCACAACTGCAAGCGGCCACGAGGAGGTGGATGGGGCAAACAGGGTCATGCTGTGAGATGTCGTGCTGTCACAATTTAAGACGGAGGCAACTAAGTGTTTGGATGCGAGGACTGGCTGATGCATGGGAAACCTTGCCCTGGGGCGTTCCTTTGATGCGATGCTTCCCGTTCCGCCCGAAATTTGAAAGCCAGTTGGTGGCGCCTGCCGCGCGGGGACGCGTGCCTAATCCTGGCGAGGCGCTCAACATCCATGCTGAATGACTCCGCGATCTTTTCCTCGCCGAAGAGATGCCGTCTCTCTTGTCCGCTATTGGGCGCGCCTGAGAGGCCCGCCTGCGCTGCGGGGGGGCCCTGAGGGGCGGCGTCCTCAATGGGCGGCGCGGAGCGGCACCGACGCTGGAGTTCGCGCTCCACCGCCCTCTCCAACACCGTCTTCGGCGCCGCCGCCTGGGACTTCGCGCCGCCCGCGAAAACGATCAGCACCCCCGCCGCTGTCTTCAAGTTGTGGCCCGGGAGCTTGTCCAACTGCTCCAGGATATGACTTTCGGGAGCGCCGCTCGGAAGTTGGGGCCGTGTTGATGCTGATCTGAATATTGCCCATGGCCTCCTCCCAGAACTGCTCGTCCTCGTTCGGGTTCTTGCGCCTGTAGTTGCGAGCTTTGTAGCTCTCGCTGACCTTGCACAGCTTGCTCGGCTCGGTGACCGTGGCCTGGGCGTAGATGCTGATGCCGTCCAGCATGACCAGGAAGGTGTTCAGCGTGTCGATCGCCCAGATCATACGTGGTTCCACCGATGTTACGTCCTCGGCCTGCCCTTCCGTCACTGTCTCTGGGAGGCCTTCCATTAGCGACATTCCCGCGATCATGCGCGGGGGCCCGAGCGAATGCCCCTTTTCTAGCCCCCGTAGCACCGGCCCGCTGGGGTAGCAGCAGGCTTCTGAAACGCCGATGCGCTGACTGGGGCTGGGTAGAAGTCCGCGGCCAGGTGGTTCATCTCGCGCATCTCTGCCGCGGAGCGGAGGGCGAGGCGCTGGAACCCGCTGATGGCCCCTCTGAGGTCGGGCTCCTCGTAGTCGTCCGTTGGCGGGGGTTCCGGCGGCCCCCCCCCCCGCCCTTGCCGCGGCCCCCCGCCGCCTTGGCCGCGGCCGAAGGAGCGCCCCCTGCCACCTTGGCACGGGCCGCGCCCATTGCCCAGCGGTCCTTGCCCATGCCTTCGTCGCCCTTGCGGTGCCGGCGGTGCTTCGTCTCGCCCTCCATCTCTTCGTCGGCCCCGCGTTTGAGGCGGGCCCGCCGTCCTCCTCCTCCTTCTCCTCTCCCTCCTCCTCCTCCTCCTCCTCCTCCTCCTCCTCCTCCTCCTCCTCCTGCTCCTCCTCCTTCTCATCGTTCTTCACGCTTTCCTCCTCCTCCTCCTCCTCTTCCTCCTCCTCCTCCTCCTCCTCCTCCTCCTCCTCCTCCTCCTCCTCCTCCCAGCCGAGGTCCGCCGAGGCCCACCCTTCTGAGGCCCCAACCCAGCGGCGTTGGATACGCCGGGCACGCGCACCACCGGCACCGGCGTCGGGACGGGCCACGCGGCCGCGGAGGTCGGGGCGGGCGTGGGGGCGTGGAGCGTGCCTCGGTCGAGGGGAGGGGGGTACTTCGGCGACGACCTTGAAGACGACGACGGACACGACGACGACGATGATGACGATGACGACGACGAAGGCGACGACGACGACGAGGACGAGGACGACGACGACGACGACGACGACGACGACGACGACGACGACGACGACGGCGGCGGCGGCGGCGGCGACAACGACGACGACGAGGACGAGGACGACGACGGAGACGACGACGGCGGCGACGACGACGACGACGAGGACGACGACGAGGACGAGGACGACGACGAGGAGGACGACGAGGACGAGGACGACGACGAAGACGACGACGATGACGATGGCAACGACGAAGACGAAGACGACGACGAGGACGACGACGAGGACGAGGACGACGACGACGATGACGACGACGGCGGCGACGACGACGACGACGATGTGGACGAGGGCGAGGACGACGAGGACGAAAACGATGACGACGACGCTGACGACGGTGACGATGGCGACGACGAAGACGACGACTACAAAGGCGGTCGACGGCGATGGACGGCGGACGACAAACGAAGGCGCCAGCGGGACTGGCCACGCGGCCGCTGGGGTCGGGGCGGGCGTGGGGGCGTGGAGCGTGCCTCGGTCGAGGGGAGGGGGGTACTGCGGCGACGACCTTGAAGACGACGACGATGACGACGACGATGACGGCGACGACGACGAGAGACAGAGAGGATCTTGACTTGTCCTGTTCTTCCCCCGAGCAGCTCGTCTGTAATATCAAACCGAGAGGGCCTAACGGTCTTATACAGTTCCTGGGAACGTGCCTGTAGTGGAGTTCCGTAGTGCGGATTGTCGTTCTTGTCGTTCTTGTTTCGTCGTCCGCGCCCGCGACCCACCCGCGACCCGCCCGCGGCCCACCCACGCTTATATGACGAGAGAGACATCGGCGCCCGTCGCGGGCTCCTCGTGTGACGTGTCGAAGACTCGGCGCCGACGTCCTTTCGAACCTCGCAGGCTGCCGAACACTCCCCCACCTCCTCCTCCTCCTCCTCCTCCTCCTCCTCCTGCCCCCCTCCTCCGGCTCCCACACTCTTTCGCCGCAACTGCCAGGGTTTTATGGGTATACGCGCCCAAGAGGCGCAGGCGCCTGCCGCCGAAGGTGCGGGCCGACGCCGCGGCGGCATGCCCGAAGCCTAGGTCTTGATCCGTCGTCGTCGTCGTCGTTGTCGTCGTCGTTGTCGTCGTCGTCGTCATCGTCATCGTCGTCGTCGTCGTCGAGTGAGGGGGCCGAACGGTCTTACACGGTCCCTGGGTGTGTTGCTTTACCCGGGTTTCCGCCGTGCGGCTTGATGTTTCCGTCGCTCGTGTCATTCTTGCTGTCGCCGTCCGCACCCATGGCCCGCCCGCGACACAGCTGCGACCCACCCGCGACCCGCCCGCGGCCCATCCGCGAACCTCCCGCGGCCCGCCCACGGCCCGGCCGCGACCCAACCGCATTGCCTGACGAAGAAAAATTTGCAGACGCGGCGGGCGAGTGGTGTAATGTGTGAACAATCGGCGCGTGAAGTGCCTTTCGAGGATCGCGGGCTGCCGACGACGCCCCTTCCCCACCCCACCACTCTTACCCGCAACTGCGGGGACGATGGGTATGTGATTTGACCGCCTGTCGTCTTAGCCGTTCTCTCTAGCGCGCTGGACAATTTGCCGACCGGTTGCCCCAGCTACACGCTGGTGCGCACTACCTCTGCCTCGCCGCCGACGAAAAAAGTGTTAACCGCCCGGCGAGGGCACCCCAAGCCCGGAGATCGGTGGAGGAGGAACAGGAGGAGGAGGAGGAGGAGGAGGAGGAGGAGGAGGAGGATCCGTAGCCATTTTGGCTCATGCCGCCCACCAGCGGGCGAAACCCCCATTGTTCAAGCGAGCTAGGCCATGTTCCCCCTTGCTCTCTGGCAGTGGAGTTTCTTCTGAAGTGGAAATGATGCTACGGGAGGGCGCGGAGGATGCGCGCCCAGGTTGTCCTCGCCGTTCGGCGGCGGACCGCAAAGCCAGCCGAGCTTGGGCAAAGGAGTCATCAGACAGGGCACTACGGAACGTGGTCGGCGAGCTGGGCAGGACTCGTGAGCAACTTCGTCGAGCAGACGAGGCACTCGAGATGTTGTTATGCGATGGGCTGTTGGCGGATCGCATATTGTGTATTCTTCCTGCGATTGAGCAGCTTCTTCAGGGCCGACGGCCAAGCTGGTTGGACACTCTTCGCAGAAATGTAGCATTACACGCATATGCTCCCAATAGCAAGTTTGCAACAGCCTCGGCAGCTGATCTTCGGAAGGCTCAGCATGGGCCGCGGCTTGGAGGTCAGGTGGTGCAGTCGCTCAGCCCGCATGCTAAGGAGTTTGTTCCTGCTGCGACCGCCGTCGCTGGCGGCGAAGGCCGCACAGAGACGGCCACGGGCGTGCCCCCCGCCCAAGACCCCCGCGGAGGGGGCGCTGAGGGTGCGCAGGCGACGGGATTGGCGGTGGCGCAGCCGTTCGGGGCCGAGGACACGGAGCTGCCGCCCGATTTCTGCGAGGAGCAGGAGGCCGTGGGCACAGAGAGGCCTACGGGGGATCGCTGCCCTGCCGCTGCTGTCGCCGCCACCGTAGTCGCTGACACGGCGGAGCGGCAGGCCGACGGTGCAGGAGGTGTTGATCCGAGCGGGACGGTCAACGTCGGTATCCAGGGCGACGTGGACTTTGTCGAGGGCGTGGAGAAGCAGCTGAGGCTCTGGGGCCAGGCGCGCCCTGGCCGAGCGACCCGTCCTTTCGTGCGGCGCCGCGCTCGGGTGGACGCGGCGAGCTCGCTCAATTTCTGGGCTGCCTATCCCGCTGGAGTGTCGCCGGGCGCTCTGGAGTCGGAGTCAGACTCCAGCGAGGATGTGGCCGCCGACGGCGTGCGCAACCAGAAGGGCCAGCTGATGACGAGGGACGAGGCCTGGGAAGAGTACCTGGCCATGGAGGCGAAAGGAGCGCGTCTTCCTGCATGGCGTCGTCCGAGGTTCAACCAGTTGGAGGCCTTCCTGGGGCTCGCCGAGGACTGATCTTCCTTGTTTTTTAGGCCGCCTTATCGCTCAGCGGTAACGGACAGCCACAGAGCCAATAGGAGCCAATAGGAGGAGGAGGAGGAGGAGGGGGAGGGGGAGGAGGAGGAGGAGGAGGAGGAGGAGGAGGAGGAGGAGGAGGAGGAGGAGGAGGAGGAGGAGGAGCCATCGCGGCCCCCCCTCGTGGCCCTCCGTGGCTGCCCCCCCTCGCGGCCCCCCATGGTAGCCCCCCCCCCTCGTGGCGCCCCCATCGTGCCCCCCACCCCATCGTGGCCACGCATCTGGCCCCCCACTGGGGAAACCAAAAGGTACCGATACCGCTACTGCCCGGACCTTTCCTGGGGTTCGTTCTGAACAGAGTTTCGAAGCGAATCCAGCGGTGGCGACGAGGGCTGGGGGCCCCATGCATGGGGGGGGTCCGGGGGTTGTTCCGGGGAGGGTCCTGCATGGGGGTTGCGACCTCCCCTCCAGCAGGTCCCCCCAGGGGGTGTTCCTCTTGTGGATGCCCCCCGCCTCCCCTGTGGACAAGGGGCCCACAATCCCCCCCTCCTCCTGGACTCCCTCCCCCCGGAGGCATCCTCCTCACTCGTATCTGCTATTGCGGAGTGCTGCGTGTTGTTCTGGCGCCAGCCTGTATGCAGGCCTGGACGGTTTCAGCGTTTCTGTTTTTGGATATGGTTGTCGTTTTCCTGCTCCCCACCTTACTCACCAATGCATTATGTATTGTGTGCACCGCTTCAACTAATTTTGTATCGTGTTCACTGCTTCCTATTTCTCCTCGTAATTTTTCTTCCCCATCCTCCCGACCTGGTACTTCTCATCCCAGTCTCACGTCCTCCCTCATCACCTCCGCTCTCTCTCTCTCCCACTTTCTTCTCACCGTTCGTTCTCACAATCGCTCTCACCGCCTTTCCGCCTGCGCATCTCCGCGCTCTCCTCCTCCCTCCCCTCCTCTGCTTCACCATTATGATCATCATCATCACATATCATTATCATCCATATCAACGTCTTTACTCTTCTCCCGCATCATCCTCAGAATCATCATAGTCATCATCAGCATGATCGTCGTACTCATCATCAGCATCATCTTGACCACGATCACCGTTAAATATCATCATCACAATCACCATTAGCATCATCAACATCGTCATCACAATCACCATCATCATCATCATCATCATCATCATCACCATCATCATCATCATCAGCATCATCATCATCATCATCATCATCATCATCATCATCATCATCATCATCTCATCATCAGCATTGCCATCTTGACCATCCACACGATCGGCATGCCCATCATCATCGGTATCAGCATCATCACCACCATCATCATCATCATCATCAGCATCATCATCACCATAATCACCATCGTCCTCTCTCATCCTTCTCCTCCCCCTCCTCGTTCGTTATCTTCCCTGTCCTATCTCTCATCCTCCCATTGCTCCCTCATCCGATGCCCCTTTTCTGCCTGAAAGTTCAACTCCGCCATCTGATGTGGATACTCCTCCTTCTCCTCTTCTGCCTTCTCCTCCTCCTCCCGTCCTGCCCGTCATGCTCCTCCTACTCCTCCTCCTCTCCCGTTTCCTCCTCATTCTAATGTATATCGCGCTCCGTGTGTTCCGCTTGGATGAGTTTTGCTTGGACAAACACCCGCGAACGAAAAAATACACAAAACGCCAGAACGCCCAAACTAGGACGGCCACCCCGTATCAGACTCTCACATGCTACTCCACATCCTTCTCCTCTGCTTCCCTCCCCTCCTCTCGCGACAGATCCGAATCCCAAAAACCTGTCTCTAAGAACTCGCCCTAACACTAGCACCGCAACGCTGACCCTAAGAGCACACCATGAGCGCCCTTGCCCTAACATCATAACTCCAATATCTTAGCCCCTTCTCCCTGGCGACCCGACTCCAACGCACTAGCCTTAATCACATACCCTTCATCCTAACATCTTATCCCCGTCACCCTGACAACAGAACACATACCCTTCTACCCGTAGTCCTTAGCAGAAGCCCTAACCCTGACACCCTAGTCCTTTCACCCTGAAGCTGCTAACACTAAGGCTACAAGCCTGTGCAACATGCAGCCTGGTCGTAGCACTGTAAACCTAACACCGGGACCGAACCAACCATTAACGCCACAACCCGACCCACACCAACTTTGCTCTAACACCTTGGCCCTAACGGTATCACCCTAAGCACGCCACCTAAGTCCGCACATAAGTACTAAGCATGAGCACCCGTGCCATCCTAACCTGGATTACCGAACTCTAGCCCAGCACCTTTAACCTAACCCTAGCCTTCTAGCCGATCCGAGAGTGCTATTCTAAAGCATTAGTTCGTCTCCTTGCGCCCTAACCCTTGTCGCATCAATCCTAGCACCCTAGCTAGCTCTAGCAAGCTATCCTGAACATTACCCCTGACCCCTGACCCTGACACCGTGACGGTGACCCTGAGGCCACAGCATGAGCACCCTTGCCCTAACACCCTAATTCCAGCAACGAGCCCTCTCCCTAGTGACCAGATTCCAACACACAAGCCCTAATCACATAACCCCTCATCCTAACACATGACCGCCGTCACCCTGGCGGCCGAACCCAGACCATTCCACTCGTAATCTTCAGCACGAGCTCTAACCCTGACCCCCTAAGTATTTTACCCAAGCGTTAGGGCTACAAACCTGCGCAACATGCAGCCTGGTCGTAGTACAATCAACTTAATACCGGAACCGGACCAACCCTTGACGCTCTAGCCCAAACGCGCACCAGCCTGACTCTAACACCTTGGCTCGAACCGGGTCACCCTAGCCTTACACCCTTATCCTAGCGTGCTTCTCCAAAGCGTTAGTCCGTTCCCTTGCGCCCTAACCCTTCACGCACCAATTCTAGCACCCTAGCTGGCTCTAGCAGGCAAAAGTGAGCATTAACCCTGTTCCTAATACCGTGAGCTTGGATTATACGATGACAATCTGGATCCTAACGCCCTGATTTCACCAGCCGAACCCGCACCCTAGCACCCTGACCCTAAACACTATCCCCAAGCATACACATCGAACGCCGGATTCTCAGCACGCCAACCCTAACAACACATAGTTCTAACCTCAACACCGATACCCGAACATCCGAACCCGCACCTGAACACCCGAATCCTAAGCGCTACCCCTAACCTTGAAACCTTCACTCCAATGCTAAGCACAGAAGGGCTAACACCATAATCCCACCACCCTAGCCCTGGCACCTTAATGCGGACACTATACATCTGAACACCTTACCCAGCCCCAGCGAGCGAATTTAAAGCGTAACGTCCTAACCATAGCACCCCGATCCAAATAGGGCCACCCGAGTTCTAATGTCTAGTCCTTACACCCTAAACCTGACGCCCTAGCCCTGCTCCTGCCACCCCAACATCATTCCACGAACCCGAACCTTGACACACGTTCATCCTAACGCGTTACCCTACAGCACCGATGCTAACCCTGCCGCCCCAATCCGAAGCCCTGCGAACTAAGCGCTTCGCCCGATGCGCAACGCTACCGCCCTCCCACCCTGACCCTCTTCATCCCCTTTCTAGCCCTCCCGCGTCATCTCCTCTCTCCTCAAATTCTCCTCGCCGTCCCCCATCCTCGCCTCACTGCTCCGTCATCCTCATCTGCCGCTTTCCGTCCTGATCATCCCCGCGCCCTCCTCCCCATCCTCTCTCATATTCCTCGTCGTCCCTCCTCGTCCTTCTCCTCCTCATTCCACCGCCCCCTTGCCTCCTTATCCACTTCTCTTCCCTTCCCCAAGGCTCAGTTTCGCCAATTGATGCTGATGCTGCCACTCCTCGTGCTTCCCCCTCTCCTCCGCCTCCTCCTCTGCCTTCTCCAACTCTGCCCGCCCTCGTCCTCCGCTTCCTCTTTCATGCGTTCATCGCGCGCCGCCCCCGAGCGCTATCTCATTCGGGAAGTTCTCATTGACTCTGTCTACGCCCGCGGAAAAACGCCAGAAACACCGAACTAGGACGGCCACTCGTTTTCAAACCTCCACGTGCTACTCTGCTCTATCCTGCCAATCGCGTTCGTCCACCTCCTCTGCCCCTCCCCCCCGCGACGCAGGCCGCTGCGGGCTGCATTCGCGCCGCAATCGCCACAGATCTTAATCGTGGTACCCTACCAGTTCCACAATTGCCCTGACACTCTGAGCCTGGCATCTCAGTTTCGCCCTTAGCGTTCTCACCCTTAACGCGGACACTGACCCTCCGTTCCCCGCAGCTCCAACACCCTAGAACCCTAGCAACGTAAAGTTCGCACCCCAATCCTAACATCCGAAACCCGACTCCACACATCGAACACCCTGACGCTAAGCTTAGCATCCCAATCCTGAACACTAGCCCGAGCAACTAATATTGGTCCTATCGCCCTAACGCAGAACCGATATCTCTCATCGAGCTAACCATGGAACGCGAACTCTGAACTTTTACGCGCTTGAACCTGAGCCCCCAACACAACAACCAACCTTATCACCCTGATCCTAGCACCCCAGCCCTAAGCATTCGCCCTGGCATTAGCATCCTAAACCCGGCAGTTAAGGATGCTATACTTACGATGCAGATTAAGAGGGCGGTAGGGTTTGGGACATGAGGTTGTCTAGGGTTTGAGAGAAAGGGCTCGCACTGACGATGTCGAGAAGCACGCTCGGGAAGAGTTAGAAGGGCGTTGGTACTACGGCTCGGGTGGCAGCGTCTAAGTCCGAGTGTTAGGTTCAGGGTGTAGAATTAGGAAGTTGGGATTGGCGCGATACGGTAAGGGTCAAGGTCTCAGGCTCAAGATGTTACGGCTCGGGCTCAAAATATACGAGCCAGTTCGGACCTTAGGCTTCTGGGGACAGGATTGCGGGGGCCAGGGATCGGGTGATCGGGTCATGGTTTTAGTGTTAGCGCTGCTTCGCTCAGGCTTGTACTTTTAGTCTTTTGGTGAAGCGGTCAGGATGCCAGGGTTTGGATTGGTCATCAGTGCGTGGATTGGGGTGCTAGGGTCACGATGTTAGGGGTGGGATGTTTGGGGTTTGGGTTCTATGCGGATGATTGTCATACTGCGGATGGCAGTAGTAGTATAATCGATTAGGGTTAGTGGTCAGGGTCAGGTGAGTGGGAGAAGTAGGGCGCTGGAGATTGGGCATTAGGGTGGCCATGTTGCTAACATCCTAGCCCTAACGAACTAACCCTGATACATGTTCTAACTTGCACAATCGATCCCTGGGCGATCTAGCCCTGACACCCCGACCCTAATCCGTGCATCCCAGCTCTAAGACGCAACCCTTGCAGTAACCATTGCGCTATCACCTTGCCTTCCCCAGCTCTCATTCTGACAGCTGACCCTGGCACCACAGCCCTAGCGGCCTGGTCCTGAACATTAACCCTCGTCCTTACACCCAAACCTAACCCTGCAACCATAGCCGCCGCGCCTAATCCGAACACCCTGATCCGAAAACAACGAGTACTGACCCTGCCATCCTGGCCATGGGCACTACCCCAAGCAATGCCACCTGCCACCCTGCGCCCTAAAGCGCTGACCCTAATCATGACACCCTGGCCCCAACGCCCTGACCCTGACACCCGAAGCCGCTCCCTAACACCCTGCCCTGCGGACTAACTCTTAACACTGACGTCCTGACCGTGTCGCCCTAACCCGAAGACTACAAGCTTAAGCAAGCAATGCCAATGCCGTAAGCCGAGCATTCCAACCGAAACACCCTAACATTAACACTGGGACGTTCTTACCCTGACCGATCCGAATTTCCGAATTCAAGCCGTGGCACACTGGCCTAAACATCCACCCCCCACTGCATCTATCGAATCCTAACACCCGCGCCCTCGCGCTCCCAAACCGAACGCCCCAATCCTGACCCTTCCCCCTCCCTTTCCCTGTATGTGTTTCTCTGTGTCCCTCTACCTCGCCGTGGTCTGACTCACGTCCGCCTTGCAGTATTCGCTTGTGGTATCGAGAAGCTGCCATACATGCCACGCTCTGCGAGCGTGCGGCGGGTAGCGCCCCCACTCCCTCCGCCCCCCCCCCCATGTGGCGTCGAGAAACAGCCACGCCTGCCACGCATGGCGAGCGTGCGACGGGCAGCGACCGCATCCCCTGCGCAGCCCCCTGTGGCGTCGATAAAGTGCACGCCTGCCACGCTTTGCGAACGTACGACGGATAGCGACCGCACCCCCTGGGCACCCCCATGTGGCATCGAGGAAGTGTTAAATGCTTTACGAGAGTACGACGGGTAGCGACCGCATCTCCAGCGCACCCGATATGGCATCGACAGGCTGCCACGCCTGCCACGCTCTACAGGCGTGCGAAGGATAGCGACCGCACCCCTTGCGCAGCCCCCCTCTGGTGTCGACAAAGCGCACGCCTGCCTCGCTTTCCGAGTCTACGGCGGGTAGCGACCGCAGCCACAGCGCACCTCCCTGCGGCATCGAGAAAATACAACGCTGTGAGATGTGTGACTGTGGTGTACGTGTCATGTGTATGTGTTGGGTGAATGTTGCGCGCCTGCGTCCTGTGAATGATGCGTGTGCGGCTACATCTGAACGTGTGTCTCATGCGGGTGCCCAATATTTGGCGCATACGTCGTGGGAGCCTGATGCAGTAAACACGCCGACGTGCACTTGCGTTGTTAGTGTGTGTGTGTGTGTGTGTTTGTGTGCGTGGTATGGTGTGTGTGCGTGTGATTGTGTGTGCGCGTGTGTGTGTGTGCTGTGCGTGTGTGTGTGCGTGTGTGTGTGCATGCGTGTGTGTGCGCGTGTGTGTGTGTGCGTGTGTGTGTATGTGTGTGCATGCGTGCGGCTGTATGTAAACACATGTCTCACCTACGTGCCGTGCATGTGTTGCGCATGCGAGGTGAGGAAGGAAGAGGAGGAGGGGAGGAGGGAGACGCGGGCGCGACGCGGCAGGGAGAAACACCAGAACCCCACGAAACATGTGGAGGCACATCAAGGTTTTCGCCTGGGACATCATTCATTTGTTCCCTTTTCCCCTATTGTGTTCTGCCCGATGTCTCAGGCGAAACACCTTGATTTGTTATACTGATGTCATTCAGCACCAAGGTTTCGCTTGAGACATCGAGCAACAAGGAGCGATGTGATAGTGATGTTCTAACGATGTCTCAAGTGAAACCCTGATGTTTGAACAACTCTGTCTACACATCAAAGTTTCGCTTGAGACATCGGGTAAACATTGAAGGTGGAAGGTTAATAGATCGACGATGTTTCACGCGAAACCTTGGTGTTACAGATTCCGTTGGTTTTCGGTTTTCTGGAAATTCCCACGCCCGGAAAAAGTCTGACCAGCAAAAAAACAGTCCAAAGGGTTTTCGAAACATCGAGGTCTCGCTTGGGACATCCTCCAAACTTATGCCTTTTTCCCCATTGTTTGTTGCACAGTGTCTCCGGCGAACCCTTGATTTGTTCTACATATTGGTTTGCAAATCAAGGTTTCGCTTGAGTCATCGAGCAACAAAGAATGATTGGAGTTTCACTTCTTCAAAGTATGTCTCAAGCAAAGATTCTAATGTGGAGAATTTCTTTTAGAGCATTCCAGTTTCGCTGGGGACATCGGGGCACAATCGAAGATAGAATATCAACGATTCAACGATGTGTCAAACGAAACCTTGGCTTTACAATTTCCTTTGGTTTGGGTTTTCTGCAAACCCAATGCTCGGAGAAAGTCCGGCCCCACTCCCCCAAAAACAGATTCAGAGGATGTTCTACGGGATATCCTCCAAAGTTTGTTCTTATACTATGGCTTTTTGCTTGATGCCCCAGGCGAAATCTTGATGTTTATAAAGATTGATTCAGAAATCAAGGTTTCGCTTGAGACATCGGGCAAAAAAGTGATGATGGAAGGTTGTTTTTTGGAGGGCGTTTCAAGCGAAACCTTGATTTAGTTCAGTCCTTATGTTATTCACTATTTAAAAATCCAAGGCCCAACCAAAAGTCTGGCCAAAACAAAAAAAAACGACCATTTGCAAACAATAAAGGTTTCGCCTGAGACATTGTCCAAACTCTTGCTTTTATTAGATTGATGCTTGCCCGGTGTCCGAAGCGAAACTTGGATTTGCAGAAACTTATAGTTGATCAAAATTCAGATTTCGCGTGAAACATCGGGCAACAAGCAATGATGGAAGGCTACTATTTTGAGGTATCAAACGAAGCCTTGATGTATCAAATTCCTGATGTTATTAATTGTATGAAAACCCCAGTCCCAGAGAAAGTCCGACCGAAAACATAACAATCCGCATAGTTTCATAAAAACAAGGGTTTCGCCTGGCAAGTCCTCCAAACTTTTGTTTTTACTATGCTTTTTGCCATATGTCCCAAGCGGTACCTGGATGTTCGTAATCGTTGTTCATACAAATCAAGGTTTCGCATGGGACATCGGGCAAAACACAATAGGGCAAAAGCAACAGTTTGGAGGATGTCCCAGGCGAAACCTTGATGTTTTGGAAAATCGCTGCACTTTTTCGGGGGCGGGGGGGGGGGCAGGACTTTCTCTGGGCCTGGGATTGTCAGATAATTAAAACCAGAAGGAATAAAATAAATCAAGGTTTCGCTTAAGACATCCTCCAGAAAGGAGCCTTCCATCATCAGCGTTTGCCCGATGTCTCAGGCGAAACCTTGATTTTCGAAGCAATGTTTATAGAAATCCAGGTTTCGCCGAGGACATCGGCCAAAAAGCAATAGGTAAAAGCAAACATTCTGAGGACTTACCAGGCGAGACCTTGATTTTTCATAACAGATGATATGGGTTGTTGTTTTCTTGTTGTGCCGGACTTTCTCTGGGCCTGGGATTCTCATATCACGAATAGCGAAAGGAATTAAGTAAATCAAGGTTTCGCTTGAGACATCCAATTCCATACAGAATTCCCTATAGGACGAATCACTCAGTACATCCCCCGCATCGGGATTCAAATGCAATACACGTGTAACAACTGAATCGTTGAATCATCCGTTCGGAAATTGTGTTCCTAATTCTTATCCAATGAACTCTCTGATTAGTTGTTTGAGCATCTCGGTGTTATTTGTGTTATCTTCAAAAGCCAATGAGAAAACCGAAACAGTGAATCTCGGGAGAAAACGTGGACTCCGCCCAGGCCTTTATGCAGACTTCAAAGTCGTTGTTCTACATGCCTCCAGGAAGCCTCAGATCTGCCCCGAGGCGGGAGGCGGCTCCAAGTGGCAACGCGCCTTCTCAAGATATCCCCCAAGGAGTCCCCCCAACAGAGCCCAACAGGCTTCTTAGGAGCAGCGCGACGACGACGACGACGACGACGACAACGACGACGACGGCGAGCCCCACGAAGGTCTCTCCAGAGCGTCAGCGCCGTCGTCGTCGTCGTCGCCGCCGCCGCCGCCGCCGTCGACGTCGACGTCCCATCCATGGCCGGGGGCACCGGCCGCAAGGCCTTCCCAATCTTGTGAGCACGTGTATCTATGCAGGCATGGTGGTGATATATATCTATATATATACAGAGAGGGAGAAAGAGAGAGAGAGAGAGAGAGAAAATGAGGGTTTATGGATACTGCCTTGGGAGCCGAACATTCTATGTCAAAATAAGAAGACGACTGATTACCACAGCCGAAGGCGCTGCTTCAAACGCGCATGCGCGCTTGCAGCGCCGACGGCGCCGAGAATACGATGACGACACTGCTGCGGCATCGGCGACAGGACGGCAACGACGGATGGACTTTGCACGGCCGAAGATGTCGCGCTGCAGGCGCCTTCGCTGGGATGGGGCGTGATACGTGAGCCGGTGAGCGGCCCCTGCCCGCGAGCTGTGTTCTCGCTCGCTTTCCCTGGCGAAGGCCTGGGGGCTGCCCACCGCACGGGGCCCTCCCGCGCGGGGGGGGGACCGGAGCTCGACCCCCAAGCCAGGGGCATGCCTGCGAGAGATGCGGGCCTACCGCGCTGGCTCGCCCTACTCCTCGGCCTCGGGACCCGCCATCGTGCCTTGTGCACGTTGGGGCGTGGAAGAATGCCAAGGGCTGCCTGGTAGGGCCTTCTGTGCTCTAAGAAGGGACCCCCCACCCCCCTCCACAAGCATCTGACTGCACGCATCGCCCCCCTGGCCCCAGGCTACCTGGGCCATAGTCCCCCGTAAATGCTGTTGATCTGCGTCCCGAGCTTGTGAGATGGCCCAGGCAGGCAACCAAGGCCGCGAAGATGGCCCAAGATGCGTCGAAGGCAGCCCAAGATGGCCCCAAGGTGGCCCAAGATGGCCTCAAGACGGCCCAGGACGCCTCTCTGAAAGAACCCAAGAGGGCCACAAGAGGAACCCCAAATGGGCCCGAAGAAGCCAAACTCAGGAATCTGCCATTGGTGTCTGAAGGATTCTCACATTCTCGCCTTCTCAGGCTTCCGTCAGCTCAAGGTGGCCCCAGAAGCCTCCAAGATGGCAAAGAGGGCCCCCCCATGAGTCCCAATATTGCCTAAGAGGACCCTGCGATGGCCCAAGAGGCCTCCAAGGCGGGCCCACATTGGCTGCGGTGGAGGGCCTCAGGAGGGAGCCAATACGGCCTCAGAGCGCCCCTCGACGGCCCAAGGCGGAGCCAAGATGGCCCCGCGACGGCCCCACGACACCATCCACACGGCCCAGAAAGCCCCAGACAGTCCTAGAAAGCTCCGAGACGGCCCAGAAAGGCCGCAAGAGGGCCCCAAGGGAGCTCCACGACTGCCCCGCAGGAGCCCAGACCAGCCCCAAGACGGCCTCAAGAGGTCCATGAGAGCTCCTCGAGAAGTGAAAACGAAGGATGTTAAAAGTGACGGCCCTCCTCTTCCTCTTAACCCTGCTACCACTCATCGTCGTCGTCGTCGTCGTCGTCATCATCATCATCATCATCCTCATCATCATCAGCATCATCGTCATCGTCATCGTCATCCTCGTCATCCTCGTCATCCTCATCCTCATCATCTTCATCATCATCATGATCATCATCAGCACCGTCATCATCAGCATCATCATCATCAACATCATCAACATCATCATCACCACCATCAACAGCATCTCAATCATCGTCAATCACCTGTCATCATCAGCATCATCATCAGCAGCATCATCACCAGCATCTTCACAATCACAATCACCATCATCAGCATCAGCAGATTCATCTTCATTGTCAGTTTAATCATCATTGCCATCAACATCATCATCATCATCATCATCATCATTGTCATCGTCGTCAGCATCATCAGCATCATCATCATCATCAGCATCACCTGAATCATCAGCATCGAAATCACATGCATGATCATCATCGTCAGCATAATCCTCATCCTCGTCCTCATTATCATCATCAGCACCAGCAGCATCATCACCATAATCAGCAGCATCAACATGACGTGCATGATCATCACCATCATCACAACAATCCTCATCCAAATCCTCATCCTCATTCTTATCAACAGCATCAGACGCATCACCATCGTCATCGTAATCGTCATCATCATCGCCATCATCATCATCATCATCAGCATCACCATCGTCATCTTCATCGCCGTCGTCATCATCAGCAGCAGCGTCATCATCTTCACCGTCATTGTCATCACCATCACCTCATCATCCTCATCAATACTTTCATCAAACTCATCAGCATCGCCAGCACCATCAGCATTACTATCATCGTTATCGTCATCATCATCGTCATCATCATTCGCATCCTCACACTCAAGCTCATAGCCATCCACATCTTCATCGTCACCATCAACATCTCCACCACCTTCAACAGCATCACCATCATCGTCGTCATCAGCATCATTATCACAATCATCAGCACCACCATCGTCATCAGCATCACCATCACCATCATCATCAGCATCATCTACAACATCTGTATCACCATCACCAACAAAAGCATCACCATTAACCTCATCATCGTCATCACCATCCTAACCACCGTCATCGGCGTCATCATCACCGTCATCATCACCAGCAGCAGCACCATCAACACCACCACCATCACCGCCTTCGTCACCACGATTCTCGTCCTCGTCCTCCTCCTCCTCCTCATCATCATCCTCATCTTCATCATCATTATCATCAACATCATCAGCATCATCATCATCGTCATCGTCATCATCATCACCATCACCACATCATCATCGTAGCCACCATCATCTTGTTGTTCATCCCCATCGGTCGCGACAATCTCCCTCGTCCTATCAGTGTCATCTTCGTCTTCCGATCGCCATCGCAGTCATCGTCTTCCTCATCGATCCGAACGGCTGCCCCCGAGACTGCTGGACTGACACGGTGGCGGGACTTGTCGCAGACAGCTGGATAGACCATCGGGACCTGCAGCTCCAGGTCTTTTGGGATCTGGCGGGACCTTTGTACTTCCGAGCTGGGTGTGGAAAAATTTGGTAGGATGCCCGACAACATATATTGTCCGAAAGCGGCAGTGGCCGCTGTCGGACAGGCGGCCTTCTGTCTCGAATGGACATCGTCCGCGGCTACACCGACACCGAGTCCTGCTCAGCTTGAACAGAACATGCTGTCGGTCTTCGTTCTCGTCCTTTCCGTACCCAGTTCGATGGTACCGATGACTTCCTCATCAAGGCCGTATGGTCCTTCGGCTCGGGGGGCTCCTGGGTCATGCCGTACCGCCACCATGGCACCTGCACGGCATTCGGGCTGACCGTCTTCCCGCCGCCCGGGACCAGGCGATAGATGCTCTGCCCCGTGTTGAACCTCGTCCTCTGGCGCTTGAGCCTTCAAGGGGCCAAAAAACATACACGTCCTATTCCCTCCGTCCTCTTGTTCCGCATCCTCCTCCTTACCCTCCTCCTCCTGTCCTTCCCCCCTCGATCATCATACTCCTCCTTGCTTCTTCTTTTTCTCCTCCTCCTCCTCCTCCTCCTCCTCTTCCTCCTCCCCTCGATCATGCCTGTTCCTCCTCCTCCTCCTCCTCCTCATTTTCATATTTTTCCTTATCCCCTCGATCCTCTTCCTCCTCCTTCTCGTCCTCCTCTTCCTCCTCGTCCTCGTCCTCGTCCTCGTCCTCGTCCTCGTCCTCGTCCTCCTCCTCCTCCTCCTCCTCCTCCTCCTCCTAGTGCTGCGCACTGCCACGCGGAAGATCGGTCACCAAGTGAATTACAAAGAAAGATCAGCCGATCCAGCGTGTGAACTACAAGGAACCCCAGCAAGAACTTCAGCTCTGAGCCTAAGCAAGAGCTTCAGCTCTGCTCGGGTGGGGTCGCCGGGGTGGCTCTGCTGGGGCAGGGGGGGAGGGGATGGGGTGTGGGTGGTGGGCGGTCCCTCATCTGGCGTTTTCTATTTGCGCATCCCCAAAATGTTTCGGGGGGTCCCAGGGACCCCCCTCAGATTCTGCTTGGGGGGGGTAGCTGGGGTGGCTCTGCCGTGAAAGGGGGGAGGGGGGGGGCGGTCCCCCATCAGGCGTTTTCTTAATGATTCCCGCACCCCCAAAATGTTTCGGGGGGTCCCAGGGGCCCCCCCGCAGATCTAGCCGCTACCGCCCCCAAACCCTCCCCTCGGACCCCTCCCCTCGGAACCCTCCCCGGACCCCCCCTGGGACCGCTCAGCGGGAGGCAGAGGATAACGAGAACTAAGGAGAAGAAAGGGGACCGGAAGAATCGAGGAGGGAGGAGGCCACAGAGCCGCGAAGATCACCGAATCCGGAGCCCCCCGAATCGGCGGCACTGGCCGGAGGCCATCACAATAGGCAGCAACAGCGGCCGCGCCTCCAACGGCACAGCCGTGCTGCCGCAAGAACTCGAAGAACGGATCGAGAGGCAAAGCAAAACGTCAGGCCCCCAGGGATCTCCTCCCCCGGGAGCCCCATAGGGGTGTCAAAAGCGAACCCTCCAACAACTTCTTCCGTCGCAGCACGGTCGAGGCAAGCCGCACGGGCGCTCGCGGTGGTCGGGGGCGCTCAACAAACGAGTTGTCCGGATGCAGGAGCGGGGCGCGGGAGGGCGGGACGGCCGCGATGAGAGCTGAAGGAAGAAGGCGCTCACCGGTGGAAGGATGTCACGGCTGAGGTCCTCCAAACATACACATGCAAGGAAACGGTTCTGGTCGGACGGATATCGTTTCAGAGCCGCCGTCTTACCAGCCCCTCCCACCTGGCCCGCCCCACAGCCGCCAGATGCCCCCCCCCCTGGTCGCTGACACCGTGCACGCCTCGTGGGCTCAAGGCGCTTGAGGCTCACAGGCATACCCTGGCCGAAACGCACGCAGTGAGGTGGGCAATCCACGGGAACTCGGGGAGTTTCCAGCGGGGAGGCCGCTCGCTCCCCCCAGGGGGACCTCAGGATGCTCGGTGGTTCCTGCAACTCCTGGCGCCAGGCGTGCCGCAAGAAACCTCGCGAGGTCCACCAAAGCTCGCTGCCAGCTGCAAGATGTACCTTCTCCGTCCGTGAGCCCCTGCGACCCCCAAAGCAACTCGACAGAAGGGATCGGTCTCGGCCCAGACCTACCCTCGATCTCAACAAACCTGGTCGTTGACCGGGTATCGCACGGTGGGCCACACATCACTCCAACTCCACAACCTTGCGCAGTGGGCTGAAGTCAGTGCCTCGCCGAGTTTCGCTCCTGAGGCTGCCCTTCTCACGACCACTGGCAACACCCAGGGACGACAAGCAAACATTGGCCGAGCCGTGGGGCTGGCCACACGACGCCCTTCCATCCAATGCTGGAGATCAAAGGCTCTGCGCTGGCCGGAAGCAGCAGTGAAGACACACAGTCGGGGATCTTCTGACCAGGGTCAATCCAGACCCGGGTCAGCAAAACTGCAATGCAGGACAGAACAACAAAAACTGCAACGCAAGTCTTCGCAAACCCGGGTCAGCCAACACGCGCGGCCGCCTCGCGGCCACGAGCGGCTCGCTAACCCGGGTCAGCCAGAGGGGGTCTTGGCAGGATCCTGCAGGATCCGGTGCCCTGGCTGACCCCCGTTTGCACTGACCCCCGTCTCATACTCTTAGGCCCCGGCACAGACGCCCCCGAGACGATCCGGCGGAGGTCGAGCGTACGGAGCCGCCTCTCCGGGGCCCGCCTCGGGAGCAGAGCCCAACCTCCACGGGCGGGGGTGGCAGGGCCCACGCCAACGGCAGTGGGGCGCAAGACTGGGCCTGGAGCGCGAAAGGCTCGCGGAACGCGGGGGCCACATGCGAACCCTGCCCCTACCCCCCACGATTTCTGAGGGGGGGGTGGGGGTCACTTCGCTCGGGAGCTCCCGAAGGAAGTGAACCCCACCCTCCCCCTCAGAAATCGTGGGGGGTAGGGGCAGAGTTCGCATGTGGCCCCCTAAGTGGGGCGCAAAAGGCAGGGCCTGGAGCGCGAGAGGCTCGCGGCACGCGGGCTCTTATAAGCACGAGCGTCCTCCTCTTCCCTGGAAAGTGCAGGAGAAGATCAGATGAAAGCAAGAGACGGGCGGAAGACGCCTGGGCCGTCCGCCGCGAAGAGAAAAAGACGGAAAAGACTGGGAGCTCTCGTCATCCTCCTCCGGGGCCCCCTCCTCCCAACGAGCGTCCTCCTCCTGAACAACAAGGGACGTACACCGGGAGGGAGGCACGGGCCCACTCATGGTGGCGGCGAGACACGTCCTCGCTCCAGTGGCGAAGGAGGCGGGCAAACCTCAAAAATGCCTCCCCTTCCTCCATCTCGGTCATCCTGCTCCCTCCTCCTCGTAATCCCCAGACCTCCTCGCGTTGCGAAAAAATCACGACGGGAGGTTTTCCCCAACTCCGGATTGGGTCCTCCCGGGGCCTCGGGACCGTGGACAAACGGCTCGGGACGAGAAGCCGGTCCCCGGGAAGAGGTCCAGCCTTTTTTGAGGGTCACGTCATGCGAAACATCGTGGCGTCGGGGGTCCGGGTCTGCCCCCCTCCTTGCCCCCTCCTGGGAGGGAAGAAGTCATGTACACGTGAGGATACCCTCTCGTGGGGATATACCTTCTCCTCCTTGCCCCTCGTGAGGGGGCAAGGAGGATACCCCCTCGTGAGAAGTTCAACTTCTCGTGAGGATACCCCCTCGTGAGTCCTTGCCCCTCCTCGTTGGGATATGCCTTCTCGACGCCGGCGCAGCCAGCACGAGGCGAGAAGAACGGGGAGCACGAGGGTCTGGGGCCCCCTCCGGGGCCCCAGCTCCGGCCGAAAAACCGGCGCGTTCTCCCGCGAGACGCCGACGGCGGCCTCTCCAGCGGGAGCGGGGTGGGTCGCGGGTGGGTTGCAAAAAAAAACGAAGGATTGCAAAAAAAACAGGATTGCAAAAAAAGGATTGCAACAAAACCGAAGGATTGCAAAAAAGCCCAGGATTGCAATCCTTCTTTTTGCAATCCTTCGTTCAAGGGCGGGTCGCGCGCGACACATACGGTGAGGGTGAGGAACCGTCGGGCAAGGAATCCAGGGTCTGGGAGCCAGCGGAGCTCCCACCGTGGAGCGGGCACGGACATCACCGCCGCCCTCCTCGGATGTGGGATCCTCCAGGGTCTGGAGCCTCCTGGGCACATTTCTTCACGAACGCCCCCGCCGTCAGACTGAGGGGGGCTGACACGGAATGGGTCGTGGGTGGGTCGCGGGCCAGTCGCGGGGTGGGCCCCGGGGTGGATCGCGGGCGGGTCGAGGGCGAGAACGACGGCAACAACTAACAACAACGGGCAGAATCCGCGGCACCGAATTCCACTTCACCAACGCACCCATACACAGCGAAAGCCAGTTTGGCCCCCCCCCACTCTGACGTAAACTGCTGGAGGTCGGGGCGCTGGACCCGTCTGGCGGCGCGGGCCAACGAGAGCGTATGCGTGTTTGGAGTGTGTTCGTTGTCCGGATCCTGGCGTCGTGCATCTTCTTGTCCTTCCCGAAGTACTTCCTGTCCTCCTTCTCGTAGAATTTCTTCCACTCGGCGAAGACCTTCGCTCCCTCAGCCAGGTTACCGTCGATCATCTGGTTGCAATGGGAGTAATCGGGTTTGCTCCAGAAGTGCGCGGGCCTGAAATGGCGATAATCCTTCTTGAACAGGTCGTGCCCCCTCTTGCGGGCCAGACTGCGGTCACGTCCTGCCGGCTTGGCCCAGGCATTCCTGGCGTTGCCCTGGTCCTGCTCCGTCCAGTACTCGGACATCATCTTCTCCTTGACCTCGGTGGCGGGAGTTGGGGGAGGAAGATGACCGTGAGGAACAGCCACCAGACACCCAACGCCGTGGAACCAGTGCCACGACCTCGTGAACCGTCTGCGGACGGCGCCACGCGAATTTTTCTGCAGGGAGTCAGAAACTCTCACGCCGGATCGGCCCGCGAAGGCGCCGGGGCCCGAGTCGGGACCAGCATCCGCAGTGTGGTGATGTGTTGTATGACGCCCGGGCAGTTTTTGGCTTGAGGGGGAGAGAGAGAGAGAGAACAAACAAAGAAATCCTGAAACACCATAGCAAAAGGAGAGAGAGAGAGAGAGAGAGAGAGGAAGAGAGAAGCGGAGAGACAACGAGAGAGAGAGAGAACTAGCGTTCAGGAACGAGAGAAAGAGAGCGAGAGAGAGAGAGAGAGACAGAGAAAGAGGAGGATTATGAATATCAGCCAAGCACTCCCTTTGCAGCGTTGTTTCTTTGGGGAGGGCCCCTCCTCCCCCAGGTCCCAAAACAACTCTGGACGCACTCGGGGTTCTTGAAAACGCGTCCATGGCCGACCCCTTGGGCTCATCACCAAGATGTCACCCTGGCGAAGAGCAACCCTTGCGCTTCGCCGTAAAACGACGAGGGCCAGGAATGACCGGAACGTCTTTGAGCTTCTCGGCGATCTCGATGTCCTCGGGCGGCCCCCCATGTCGTCCCAAACCGGCCCAACGCCGTCCCCTCCACCTCCCCCTTCTGCTTCGTGGTCGACGAGAAGGGAGGTGGGGAAGGGGAGGGAGGAGGAGGAGGAGGAGGAGGAGGAGGAGGAGGAGGAGGAGGAGGAGGAGGAGGAGGAGGAGGAGGGGGGGAGGGAGGAGGAGGAGGAGGAGGAGGGAGGAGGAGGAGGAGGAGGGGGGAGGAGGAGGAGGAGGAGGAGGAGGAGGAGGAGGAGGAGGAGGACCAGGGGTGGTGGAGGGGATGATGATGGAAAAGAGGACAAGGACAGCGACTCGCTTCCGAAGAGGCAGGGCCAAGCATGCAGCAATGACGGGAGGGCGGGGAGGACGGCGGGCGCCCGCCTGGGCCGCAAGAGGGGCGAGCCCGGCGGCGCAGGGCCAGGAACGACGGGGCAGGGCGAGAGACCGAGGGGGGAGACAGAGGGACTGTTTCGTGAGGCACCTCCAGGGGAGGTTTTCGTCAGAACGATTGAAGACTACACTGAACCTGGTTCAGGGGCCACCAGGCCCGAGAAAACCGGATGAAACCAGGCATGCCCGCCTTGTTCCAGGATGAAGTAGGTCTCTGCCGGGTTCGGCCGGTTGTCGACCACGAGTGTACCAGTGCCGATGCTAAATTTGACCTCCCAGGACGTGCATCCTAAAGAGCGAGAGAAAGAGGGAGAGAGAGAGAGAGAGAGGAAACAAACAAAACAAACAATGCATTTTGTTTCGAGCGGTCCAGACCGAAACCTTCGGCGTTTGTTCCCACCAGAGCCTGGCGGTCTCGACCAGCGCGGCGGCCGGGCCAGGTCGCAGGTTGATGTTTTCCGAAAATCCAATATCCCAGGGCCCCTGACGAAAGAAACCGAAGCAAGTCCCTGGAGCGAAAAAAACAACCCCCAAAACGAGTCTTGCGAGGCGCCAGAACTTGTTCGGAGAGGACCTGCAGCCTGTTGAAAAAGGAAGAGGAGGAGCAGCAGCAGCACGAGGAGGCGGACGACGAAGGAGGAGGAAGTGAGGAGGACCTCTCCTTTTTTCTCATGCTCCGGGTGCCCCGTCCTCAACTGACGACGGGGCGCATGTCGAGTCTGACGAGACGCCGTGAAATGGTGGCTGGCGTGTACGCCCTATTGTGTTATACAATGTTCGGTTCGTTTCTGGCACATCGTAGTATGTGACATTATGTTCTGTCATGTTATGTTGTGGACGGGCCAGCGTGACGTCGTGACGCCTTTCACGTTTGGTATGGCTTCTACTCGCTCTTTGCTGCCACTGTATGTTTCTGAGGCCAGCCTGGGCTTGGCGTGCATGTCGCGTTATGCTAGGCCGAAAGTACTCGGTCTCTGCTGACTTCTATTATATCAAGATGTGTTCGGTTCCGTTCTGTAATATAACATATGTTTGTGTCTGTTCTGCCCTCGGCGGGAAGGCGTGATGTCGTGACGCCTGTCGCGTCTGCTATGTCGTCAAATCGGTCATTGCCGCGCCTGTTTCTTCCTGTGGCCAGGCGCGGGTGCTGCGTTTGACAGTGCGCTCTTAATTCGTCGCTGCTGTATTTAACAATCCTCAATTAACTGACCCTCGATAAGGATTTAGTCTGCAATACTACAATATGATATGTTCACTTGTCGACTGGACGGCCTAACGATTGACGCCTGTAACGTCAGATACGTCGTCCGACCGGTCATTGCTGCGCCTGTTAGTACCTGTGGTCGGGCTGATTTCGGCGCGCACGTCGCGTTTGATTGTGTTTAGTACGGCCTACTGGTTTATGAAATCCCTCTTCGAGTTTATGTTCTCTCATGTGCAAGTATGCCGCAGTATGCTTGCCTCTGTCGTTGTTTGGCTTGATATGATATGATCTGCTCTGCTCTGTGGCAACACGTTACGGCATGGCACATATGATCCGCCAGGTTCGGTTATAGTATGTTATTCGCTGTGATGCTGTTATAATATGCTCAGTTTGTTAAAGTACATAACATGAAGTTATAGCCAACCATGTGATATCTAAATCGTTGACATGAGGGTAGCAATCGTACAACAAATCTGCTATGTTATGCTGGTTACGGTGTGCTGAGTCCGTTACATTGTGCTGATTTGTTAATGATATATTGCGTTGTGCTCTATTATGTCTGTTCTCGACGGGCCAGCGTGACGCCCTGACAGCTGACACGATGGATACGTTGTCCGGTCGGTCGTTGCTGCGCCTTGTTCCTCCCGTGACCAGCCTGGCCTCGGCGCGCACGTCACGTTTGATTATATCGTAGTGGAGTAAACTTTGCTATGATGAAATGCTCTGTCATGTTACGAAATGCTGCGATTATGTGTCATGTTATAATAAATGATTCCCCAATTAGAGCTTGCCTCTGTAGGGGTCTAAGCAGATTCATATGGTTAGGGGAACTTGCCACCGATTTCCGCGGCCCGCCTGGGTGCCCGGGTGCCCAGGTGCCCGGGTGCCCCGGTACCTGATAGCCCTATAGCCCTATAGCCCTATAACCCTATAGCCCTATAGCCTTATAGCCCTATAGCCCTAAAGACCAGTAGTCCAATAGCCCTATAGCCCTATAGCCTTGTAGCCCTATAGCACTATAGCCCTATCGCCCTACAGCCCTATAGCTCTATAACCCTATGGCCCTATAGCCCAATAGCCCTAAAGCTCAATAGCCCCATACCCCCATAGCCCTATAGCCCAGTAGCCCTATAGCCCTATAATCCTATAGCCATACAGCCCTATAGCCCTATAGCCTTATAGCCTTTAGCCCAATAGCCCTATAGCCCGTTCGCCCTATAGGTCTATAGCCCTATAGCCCTATAGCCCCGTAGCCCTATATCCTTATAGCCATATGGTGCTGTAGCCTCTTAGCCCCATAGACCTATTGAGAACGAATGTGCGCGGCGCTAGGGCGAGAGCCACATTTTGAAAATCACCCGCCCTCCATATGTGAAACTGCTTCCGAGTTTCAAACTTCAGAATCATAAATGGTGAGGAAGTCTCAGGCGAAACGCCCGGCCGGCCCTGAAAACTGGCCTCGGGCTGCGACAGGGAGAAGTTATTCTCCAATCAGAGCTTGCACCTGTAGGGGTCCTAGCGGACTCATATGATTAGGTGAGCTTTGCCACCGATTTCCGCGGCCCGCCGGGGTGCCCGGGTGCCCGGGTGCCCGGGTGCCGAGGTGCTGGGTGCCCGTGGCCCGCCCAGGTGCCTTATAGCCCTATAGCCCTATAGCCCTATAGCACTATAGCCCTCTAGCCCTATAGCACTATAGCCCTATAGCACTGTAGCTCGATCTGCAGCTTGAGCAGCAGCCGCGCCGTCTTGAGTCGCATGCGATGGTGGCCCTGTCCATTGCGAGAACGGTGTATAGGCAGGATGCACGGTTGGCATGCGCTCTCCGCTCGCATCACCCTTGGACTAGAGTTTTGTTGTTGGTTTCTGTCGGCGGCGAGGTTCCGCTAGCGGACAGCGCCAAATTCAACGCGCTGCACGCTGGCCTCCAGGCCTACAGCTGCAGGAGGCAAGCCGTCAGAAGGAGCGTATTGAAAAGGAAGCCGAGGAAGCTGTTTGCCCAAGGCGGCGCCAGCGCGCGCTCGGCAGGAAGTCGGCGGCAGGTCGGCGCGCGCAGTTATGCAACCCGCTCCGACGGCGAAAGTATTTGGCGAAAGTATTTGGCGCTGTAGCCGAGCGCGGTGGGCCATGCAGGTAGCCTCGAGGCTCTCATGCAGTACTGGCGCTCAGTCTTCGAAGAATGCTCGCCCGTTCCGCGGGTTTCGGAGAGACAGACGGAGCGGTTCCAGGCCAGACGAGATTTTGCCTCCCTCCCTCCCCAAGAAGAGGAGAAGGAGGGGGAGGAGGAGGAGGAGGAGGAGGAGGAGGAGGAGGAGGAGGAGGAGGAGAAGGAGGAGGAGGAGGAGGAGGACGAGGAGGAGGAGGAGGAGGGAGAGGCGGGGAGAAGGAGGAGGGAGAGGCGGGGAGGAGGAGGGAGAGGCGGGGAGGAGGAGGCAAGGAAAAAGGGGAGAAGGAGGGGGGGGAGAAGGAGGAGGCGCAGCAGGAGCAGGAGGAGGAGGAGAAGGAGGAGGAGGAGGCGGAGGAGGAGGAGGAGGAGGAGGGGGAGAAGGAGGAGGGGGAGGATGAGGGAGAGGAGGGAGAGGAGGAGAGGAGGAGAAGGATGAGGAGGAGGAGGGAGGAGGAGGGAGGAGGGAGGAGAGGAGGAGGAGGAGGAGGAGGAGGAGGAGGAGGAGGGGGAGGCGAGGAGGATGCTGGAGGGAAGGACTCTCAGAGGGGAGCAGCGACGGTCGCCTGTCCTCATCCTTCTTCATCTTAGCGAGCACGGTGGTGGCGGCGCGGAGCCTGTACCTAAACTGGTCCAGATTATCCTCCTGCTCCCCCTCCTTCTCCTCCTCATCATCATCGCAATCACCATCACCATCACCATCATCATCAGCATCATCATCATCAGCATCATCATCAGCGTCAGCATCATCATCAGCATCATCATCAACACCATCATCATCACCATCCTCATCCTCATCCTCATCCTCAGCCTCATCAGCATCATCAGCAGCAGCAGCGCCATCAACATCAACATCATCGTCACCATCACCGTCACCATCGCCATCACCATCACCATCGCCATCACCATCACCATCACCTTCATCATCAACAACATAATCATGGTCGTGACCAGCAGCGACATCAGCATCATCATCACCATTACTAGCACCATCACCATCATCATCATCATCATCATCATCATCACCATCATCATCACCAGCAGCAGCATCAATATCAGCAGCAGCACCATCAACATCAGCAGTACCATCACAAGCACCATCATCATCAACATCATAAGTGTAATTGTAATATTCCTCATCATCATCAACATCATCACCAACATCAGCATCATCGTCATCATCATCAGTATCATCATCACCAAAACCATCAACACCATCACCATCACCACCACCACCACCATCATCATCATCATCATCATCGTCATCATCAATATCGGCATCGTCTCACCGTCATTGTCATCGTCATCATCATCATCATCATCAGCACCAACATCACAATCAGCATCATCAACATCATCAGAATCACTATCATCAGCAACATCATCGCCTTCCTTATCATCACTTGTCATCATCCCCTGATCCTCCTCGCCAAGGCCCCCCTCGCCTCCCTGACCCTCATCCTGTTCCTGCCCCCTCGTTGCCCTCGAGGGAGAGCCACCATACGGGCGGGACACCTGCCCGTTCGAACTCGGGTTCGGGGGATGTCTCGAGCGAGGCGCCCGCTTGCGCCGGCAGCTCGTCTGTTCCCAAAGCAGAGTGCGAGGACGTCTGCATGACACTCGCCAGTTCGAGACCAGGTTGTGGGGATGTCTCCAGCGAGGCGCCCGCTTGGCGTCGGCTACTCATCTGCGTTCAAAGCAGAATGTGACGACGTCTCGAGCGAGGAGCTTGTTTCGGCACCCCAGGGGGGAACCGCCAGGGACAGGACACTCGCCAGTTCGAGGCCATATGTGGGGATGTTTCGAGCGGGGCTGCTTTAGCACCCCAAGGGGGAGCCGCCAGGGGATAGGACACTGGCCAGTTCAAAGCAAGGTTGTAGGCATGTCTCGAGCGAGGCGCTCCTTTCGCATCTCCGACTCCTTTGTCTGCAGAGCCCCATACTCACCGCGTTGTCGCAAACTGTGACTCTCTCACACTCAATCACTCACAATGGGAACTGCCAGGACATGAAATGCACAGATAGAGTCTCCGCGTCGACTACTGTGTAAGATCCTACCTTTCCATTCACAATACACTTCGGTCAGAAGAAGTCGGTCAACACATGAAGTTGCAAGGCAGATGAAGCATATTGGATCAGGCCCCCCCAGATAATGACACAACGCAGCAAAAACAAATCAACCCTTGACGTAGGAAAGCGCTTGGCGTAGACTGGGATGTGGGAGCCCATAAAGTCCTACTTCCAACGACCGGCGTGTAGCCCGATAGAGGATGAAAGACAACCCCTTGTCAAAGCAAAGTTCTCACATGACCGACACACATAAAAGGCGTTCGTATTTCAAGGGGGGGCTTCTTGCGTTGAGAGTGGAAGCGTGCACGGACTCGTGGGAGGGGGGAGAAGTGTTTTGCCAGTTCTCCGTCAGGAGGGGAGCTTTCGCAGCCCGATTAAAAAAACAAGGCGAGCTCCACTCGCGCGGGTGGACGTTGACGATTTGTCAACGCCCCAAATTTGCTCATAAAGCGGCCCGTCGCGCCGCGCCCGGCAGGCAGCTCACCCGCCACTTGGCTCACAGCGCTCTGGGGCACCCAGCGCATAGCACAACAGTGCCAGGCGGTTCACCTCATCCGTTCTAGACGCACTTGAACCGGCGTGGGCTGCCTCGAGGGGGCACCTGCAACATAGCTGCATGTGCCCCTCGTTCTCTTGCACTCAAGCTCCAAGACGACCGCCTGTTCTGGGCGTTCACTCGCCATGGGAGAGTGGAATCCGTATTCTGCTGTTCGTTGTCGGTGCACGCACGCCTTGGAAGGGCACTGTCCGCGCGGTGCCGCGAGGTATCGGCCTCGTTATGTCAGGGCGCGCCCAACCAGAAATTTCTCGCAGCTGGCGGCCCCGCTGCCGTGGCGGAGCTCGAAAAGGCAGCCCCCCGCGCGTGAGTTTGTGTCCCACTGGATCGGGCTGTAAGCTCGGCGTCGCCTGTTTTCCTGTCGATCATCTGGCGCGCGACAACTTCGCCTCTTAGCCCCCTTGCCGTCATTCTCGGTCACCTTGCCCTTGCCTTCGGCGACGTTCTTGCTGCCGTAGGACGGCCCTCGGGCCTCAGAGAGTTCGGCCTCTTTGCTCCTTTAGCAGACTGCGCCCGATGGGGGGGGGGGGGGGGGGCGCCTACCCCGACGCAGTCATGCGACGCCTGGGCCCTTGCTTCGCGCACTGGCGGCCGCGGAGCCATCGGAAATTCCGCTGGCGGCCAGCGCTCCTCTATTTCCTGTTCCATGGGAGTTTTCCGTTGGCTGGGCGGTTCTGCGTCCGCGCTCCGCGGGGACTCGCTGCGCCGCGCGGGCCACCCCATTCTGGGCCCTTCGCGATGGCAGTCCGCTGGGTAATCATAATCCCAATCAGAAGATTTTAAGAATGTATAGCCGCCCCGATTCAGCACCCTCCTGCTGACGCGGGGCACGGCCGCCGCGTCTATGGACGAACGATAGCGTTCTTACCAGTTGCACGCGTCTTGAGATGTACGTTGTGGAACTTGGTCCACAGGCGAGCCAGCTTCTGAGCCTTCTCCTGCTTGTAGGGGTTCTGTCGCTCGGATAGCTCGTCATCTGGGGGCGTTGGCTGCCATGCAAAAACCGCCACGATGTTGCTGTGCAGCGCGGTCTTTTCTTGCAAGGCATTATTTCTACGAGCGCCGATGTCGTTGTCGCCAGCGTCTTTCCACCTGCTCTGCGCTCGTACCCGTGCGCGGTCAGCGTCGTGGCCCGCCCATTTCCCCCTGCGCCCTGCGCCGTAGGGTCGGGGGCATCGCCCTCTCGATCCCGCTTAGCCAGACCGCTTTCTCGATCGTCGATCTTCGGCCAACTCATGCCAGGGTCAATAATAGGGGTACCGTGCTGAACAGGTGCCAAGCACGCAAGGCAACTCAATGTACACAGCCGGGCACGGCAATCGCTGCTGCGCAGAAGGTAGCCATCATCCCGAAATTGACGCGCGCAGAGTCCATTCGTTTTCGTGATAGAAGCGAGCACATCATCACCATCACCAGGTACCCGAACGAGAACTAGATGCGGCTTGATCCAGCGCACGCATGCCGTGTCGAAATCATGGGAAAACCTCGAGCGCAGCGCACCGTCGGTCATAAACCAAAGCCCACGATATCCGAATCCGCTGTATCCCAGACACGGCAAAGCGCATGATATGATGAATGCCGCTTCCTTTGGGCCAGATGGTAGTCGCCAGGGAGCCATCGCTTTGAACCCAACTGTCCTGATTCTCGAAGATGCGAGGTTCGAAGGTGATCACATGCTACTCTTAGAGCGGATGCGGATCTTCAGGGCCGAAAGCACTGGCATCCAATGCTGGCAGGCCACAGCCCGCGCCCGGCCTCCAGGTCTAAGCCGCGTCGGCAGCTGCCCATGCATTTCGCCGCATTGACCCTCCAGCGCACTCTGCGCCAGCTTTGATACCCTACCAGACCCCGGCTCACGCTCTCAGACGACTGGGCCCTCAGGGGCAGGGCACGGTCCAAAGTGAGTCGGCAGACAGTTCAGGAAACGGCGCTGCCGCGCGCCCTGGAGGTCCCGTTGCGGTAGCTCAACATGCCCGGTCATAAACCTCCGCACCGAGGCACCGTCCAATGGAACGACGATTGCCTGGAGTGAGTACCTTGCTGCAGCATCACACCTGTTGTGCATGCGTTTCGGGTCAACAGCTCGAACAGAGTGACCCTTGCAAGCGCGAGGCAGCAGTGGCGCTCTCGTCGCGGGCGTCACAATAGGCGCACCCCTGTCGACACAGTCGACACCAGGTGGCTTACGCCCAAAACTTGTCCCAACCTTCCGGCTCAGCAGCGGGGCCTTTCTTGGCGTTCGTCATGTTCACGCCGAGGACCTGGCCTGGACAGAATAGCGTGGCAGTTCAGCAAGAGCATGCGTACAGCGTGCCCACGCCCTGTCATAACCCACGTCGCCCAGCATCTGGACAATTGCGAACGCCTCGACCCATCCTCCTGAACTGCGGACGCGGGCTGCGCAATGCCTTGTTAGGCGAACGATGAGCGAGCTAATGCGTCCAGCCTCCTCCACGTCGATCCCCGAGTACCACGCAAGCGCGCAAGTCACCAGTCATGTTCATCCGGATGAAGCCAAACTCGGGCGTCGGAAGACAGCGGGGTGCCCCGTCCTCAGGGGACAGGCGTCGCGGAAACTCTAATTGCGCATCGCCCGCCAAATCACGGGACCACTAGAGCGCTCTCTTCTGGAAACCACTGCCCCGCTTATCTCTGTCTGCAGAGGGCTTAAGGCCGGAGTCATGACGCTCCTCCAGAAGCCGGGCCACCTCAATGGGGGCGGCCCGAAATCCTGCATCGTCGTTTTCGTCAACGAGCGGGGCGCCGTACTCGTCCTTCTCCGCATGCTCAAGCCCGAGGTGGGCCGTTTCCCCATTATCCATGTTCTTGCTGGTACTCACATATCAAGTAGGTTCCCTCTGTGGCGGCGTCAGGGCCCCTCCGAGATAGAAACACGTCGACATGAATGCGTGAGGAAGCTTATTGGAGATTATGTCGAAGGGAAATAGCCTGGGCTTCCGTTCAGGTATAACCTCGGATTGGCGCTCCACACTATCAC